AGAGGACAAATGTCTAGAAGAAGGAGAACATTTTACAGTGTATCAGGGATGGATTTTCCGAACCATTAGAAGAACAGGAAAGAAAAGAAACTTTATTTTGGGTGGACAATCCCCTTTGGATCTCTGTCTCAGCCCCATCCTTCTTTATTCTGAAAGTGTAAGAAGCTCTCATCGCTATGAACCATGTTGGTCCCTCATCCTTTATCTCCTAAATTCTTTCTGTCTGTACTATAAGTTTCAGAGACTTGCTGCGGTTCCAATCAAACTTCTATGGAAGCCATTTCTATCATGTCCACTTGACTGCCTTCCAACCCTGGTTGAGGTTTTACGACAGACCAGTGAGAAGTATGGCGCTTGTGTTGTTGATGAGCTTCTACAATCAACGTCGGAACAAAAAAGACCATGAAAATGGATAGAACCACCGACCCTGCCCACGTCAAGTAGGCGTAATTCTTCAATTGCTTGCATTCTTTCAGGAGGATCTTAGAGGCATCTTTCACCAATTGGCAATTCGCTAGCCGTTCTATACCAGGATAGCCATCGAGTATGTTCTGCATGGAACTTGTGTAAACTTGCACTTTCATGAAGTCACTGGCTGATATAAATTCTCCTCCTCTGCAAACTCCGCGATCATTGGCCATGCAGGTATATTTCTTCAAAATCTTGGAACAGTCGAACACAAGTTAGCATGGTGAGTAATAATAATGATCACACTAGGCAGTGCTTAACATTGTGGAGAACAGTTCAATTTTAGATCTCTGTATGAGAACTAGTATTATTTGATGCAAAAGGAGAAAATTTTACCTGAGGAACATCTCCGATTTTAATTGTATTGGAAGAACAATTTTTTGGCTCATAAGAGTAGTCAGGTGATTCTGAAAAAGGATTGCAGACAAACTCCAGATCTGGAAGAGGCAGTGACTTTGCAGCCGATATTCTTTTGTTCACCTGCAATTGTGCAGGTACGACACTTGCAGATTTAGCAAATACATTGTTCCACAAAAATAAAGAAAAGGAAGATGAAATTTTTATTAATTTTGTGTGGTGGATATCAAACTTCCATGTGTTGAGACTTGTAACTCTGCAAACGGTGTACTGTTTTTGATCGATTTATTCTCCTCTGAAGTATATTTCTTTGATGGCTTCCGCTTAATTCTTCTTTCCTCAGGGAAATAACAGTGCTTCTTCTTCTTCTTCTTGGGATCAGTGGAATTTTTGAAGCTCAACATTAGAGCAGCTAACTACTCTATGCTGTGAATGTAAGTGCTTGTCTTAAAATGTAGTCATGTAGATACTACATCTGTGTCATACTTAATAGCCTGTTCTTGTTATGTTAAAAAAGGCTTGCAAAAATACTTGGGAAATAACGAGGGTTTGTTCCACATCTTGGTATTTTCCAGTTTAAAATTTGGACTTATTAGGTGGATCCATTGATGATGCTTCCTTCAAGGAAACACATCATGGTATGATATAGGAGGAAGAATCAAGGTCGATGTAACTATTGCAGCTTAAATATCCTTCTTAAGTTTAAGATAAACCTTTTTATGATTGCTCATAAACCCTTGTTGAGCTTCTTGATTTTCTTATGGACTGGGGTACACTAATTTGATGGTGAGAACCTGATTGGCGCGGTCCCAAGGGCGTGCCAAGAAGAACTTGCATGGATTATTACAAAGAATTATGTATATCAAAATTTCCATAGCTATACAACAAAGAAAATACCAAGATTTGCAATCGAAATTATTAGGGATGGCAACTGAATTATGCATCTGAAACTTTGGTTAGTGCTTTCAGCAGCTTAATTCAAACAATGAAATGGATATTAATTTACTCACTCGTTTAATGATAATTTCCTTTTTCTATTTTTGAGGTAATAAAGCACACCTGTGACAGAAGCTACAGTTTATCAAAATGTAATTATGTGAATAATCCATGAAATGCAATGTCCTAGACTTTACGATATCAGAACCTATGATCTGCCGAGGATCTTAAAACTTTGGTACCTGGTCAATTGTATTATGGATTCCTGCTCGGATATCGTGTAGCATCGCATTGGCAGAAAATTGCTCACTGCAAGGCATGATTGAGCTTAAGTTGCTGTTTCGAGGATTTAGCGTATATTCAGCAAGAGCCACACAGGAATCACCAGAGAACCTGGAAATTTTGCTCCCTTAAGTTGAAGATATAGCATGGAAATAATGGAAACATTTAATCATGGAGGAAGAACATGGCTTACTCATAAAGAAAGAAATATAGCCCAAAGTATATCCAGAAAAGGAATGTGAATAACCAGCAAAGGATGATAAACCTGTCATTAGCCAAATTTTTCTTAGATTTCTGGAAGAAAAAAAATATTAGATCCATAATCATAAATCAACAAGTACACTGCTTGCTACAAGTATGCTCTTTTTTAATTGGTTCATAATAAGTTGCCAAGTAAACCGATCCATATGATAATGATTTAACCGACTAAAATGGAATCGAGAATCTGGTAAAATATGAGCCTTTTGCTTCTTTTTTTTTGTCATAATTTCTAGTGAGATCAGAATCTTTTTTGCATACCAGATAACAAAACTTTTTCAAGTTTCAAGCTGACTTACAGATAAAATATTTTGTATAGCCTTGGATGCCTTAATGCTGCAACACCGAAAAAAGAAAAAACTGAAAGTTAAATTCAAGAAACACAAATTGATTAACGGAGGGTTCTTACTGCAACAGGAGTACAGATTAGCTTGCTTACCCAGAACTGCAAGAACAGCAACAATATTTAGCACGACACTGGTAATGGTCACCGCCTCCCTGCAAAATATTGTATCATCATGAGGAATTATGAAATGATGGTTGCCAAGCTACTTGTACTATGTCGATCTCTTTAACCTTTGATGATTGGTACTTACAATATTTTGATACCCTTGTTGAGCGAGAGCATGCTTGTCTCAGCCTTTCTCTGTATGTTAGAAGCTTTTTTGATAAGCTTTTGTGATGTGGAATTCAGATAGCTGGACCCTTTAAAACCACCATAGAATTCTGTGATCCTTCCCATGGCCTCCACAGCTCCTGTCACATTGTATATCGTTTGGGCTGCCTCTTCTGATGTTTCCATAATGATGTTCTTGATTGCTTTGGCTCTTGAACAGAATTTAGCACTACCACCAAGCACTATTCCAGATGGTACCCTGCATGTACATTTCTAGCAACAATTACTCCAAGTAACCTTCTTAAGAATAATATGATTACTTCACAGATCAAGATAAGAATAACATCAGAAGACACCTAACTGAAGCCTTCTGTTAAAAATCAGGCTTACATGGCTAGGAATGCTAAAATGATCCCAATTAAAATTGGCCAAACACAGTATTTATCAGAAAAAGGGAATCGCTTCTTGTGCTTGGGTTCCTTGTTGACAAAATGAGTCCTTGTGATAAGAAGAATGCTGGCATAAACAAGGCCGCCAATAATCCATATTGCACCGATGATATATCCATATCTTCCTGTATATATTGTAGACTGAAAGAAAATACACAAAGGTCATAAACCCCATCTATTTGTTCTCATTGAGTGTTAATGTGATATTAACTTTCACAGTTGAGACAGCTCAAAGAAGACAATTTTCAGCTTAATGATGTAAACTGAGCATGCATAAGTTTAGGAAAACTTTCGAGATCAAAAAATTTTTCTATATAAGTTAAATAAAATGCTGAAATCAGCTACAGTTGAAAAAGTCAAAAAATGATTTTTCAGTAGATTTCCACAAAAGCATGTTAAATAAATTGCTGAAATCAGCTATTTTTCAAAAAGTTAAAAAATGATAATGTTTTTGGATGATGTATCGGTTTTCTATTTTTACTTGGCATCAATATTGCAATTGGATGTTGATAAAAATCCCTTTTTGCTGAATCATAGGCCAGAGTTAGGAGTTGGAAATCTTGTGTAGTGATCAGGAGTAGTAGTTCCAAGTTATAAGCCATATATGATCGATTACATAGTACTTGATGTGCATGTATTTTCATGTGAATTGATGATTTTGTGGATCTATGTATTGTGAATATGTGGGAGGGGGCAGAGAGAGAGATTACACTCCAGTAATGTGTGTTTGTGATGTTGTAGCCACCTTTGTACTTCTTCAAGCTATTCAAAGGATCAACTCTCTGTGTCCTTGCTGACAAAGCGCTTACAGGTTCAGAGATGTTCACGTCGCCAATCAAAATTCTTTCATCTAGTAGAAGAGGCAGATGGAAAAGAAATAAGAGCAATTCAAAGCAAATTAGTAGATGTAAAGATGCAAGCATTCTTTTATCATGCTAAAAACTTTTCCGACATATAACATTCCATCTGATCGATGAGATATATGTCCATGCTTGTTAGTAATTTTACAAGTTTAGAAGTGTTCGACTCTACATTTCAGCTTATCATGAACAAGCACAGTTGAACTTCCATCCTAGAAGTTCTTAAAAATCAAGCATCATAGCGGTCCCTACTTCCTAAGTCCCTACTAGTGCATCCCCACCTGCACAGGCCAAGCTGTTGAGAACCGGCAACCTTTGCAGATACATCCATACACATCAAGTCCAGCATCTGTTGGCATGGTGATATAAGAACAAGTAGCAAGACCAAATGGTGAAGGTGGACACAATTTCGATCAGGCTAAATTATGCATGAATCAAAGAAGAAAACATAATCTCTGTTTCTAGTCCAGCATCTGTCGGCACGGTGATATAAGAACAACTAGCATGACCAAATGGTGAAGGAGGACACAATTTCGATCAGGCTAAATTATGCATGAATCAAAGAAGAAAACATAATCTCTGTTTCTAGCTGATTTGGTCTAGATTTAGTCCATTTCAAAAAATGAAGATAGCGTTGGTGAAACAGTGAACCATAATGCTGAAAGTGCCACATTATTATGTGGTAGCCATTAGTACTTGCAGTGTCCAATTTGATCCCGGCCATGGTCCTTCAGATTTACTTCAGTGAATTATTTGCTGCACAGGTAATTGTGATTCATGCTGATGGACTGTTCTTATCGCCAGGATTGCACTACTTAACCTAATACAGAGTTAATCTGTCTACATTAATCTACAAAATGAAAACTTATAACACAATAATTTATGAGAAGGTCTGAGTTGAGAATTCTCTGCCTCACCTGTTCCAATTTTAGTGAGATCCTCCTTCCCGATGGTGATTTGAACTGGGACTTCTCCTAGGCAACAGCCCAGGACAGCAGCTAATGAACATAGGCAGATTGCAGAGTGGTAAAACATTCTCAAGCCCATCTCAGCAACCTCTGAAAATTATATACATAAACAAATTATATCATTCATCATCCAAACAAATCAGCAATGATCTCAACGAAATTGGTGTCTTATTTTATGAGGATAGGATTCAGCATAAACAGTAAAGAAAGTTAGTAGGAAAATGAACACAATATGATTCCTGACATTTCATATTTAAGATCAGTGAGATGACATTAAAATTTTATTTGCAGAGGTATGCTTCAGATGCAATTCAAGCCAGCATAAACAGATCTCTTGATGTATCTCCTCATGTATCGAAGTAGGCCGTCCATAAATCATACAGATCTCGACATTCGGAAGGAGATTTCAACTAAGTTGGTCATAAGTTAGCATTGTGTTCATTGCAAATCCTATCTCAGCAACCATCTCCAAGGAAAAAATTGGAGGAACCAAAGAACGAAGAGACAGCAAACAGCATCATACCGCATTACGACTAATTCAATCTAAATCTCAACAAGAAAACACAGAGCTTCACCAAAGCCAAGTTCGAAAGGCATTACATGGTCTGGATTTTGGATGCTCCTAGTTAAGCAAACATGGTCCCTCCAATTCCCCGAGAAGCAAAAATGATGCAGGAAAAAGGAAGAGAAATCTAACCTACTGTCAATATCTGGCACTCTCACACTTCAGCCATGGAATGATCTGTTCCTGTCTTCCTTGAAGGCCACCATGGGACGCCACAAGACTCTCCTCACAGAAGCTTCAATCAATGAAGTCCCAAGAAAAGGAAGTCGCTTCCTTCCTCTCAGCCGAGACTGCGGTAGGAGACGACCCCCCTCGAACCAGTCTTCCCTCGTGGGAGACGGCAGCGCAGGTACATATACCGAGCAGCACTCGTCCCTTTCTTGTGGAATGGGGTAATGTACCGAACCAAAAGCAGCACCAAATCTTCTTAGCTAAGGAACAAATCCAAGGAAAAGAATTCAAGTCGACGGAGATTGGAGTTCGTGTAACAGCTGCTTTTTGTTGCGTCCGATCGTGTTTCAACGATTCCTTTCCCCGTTGCAACGTGTGAATTTTGACGCACGAACAAAGAAAGAAAGAAAGCAAAAGGAGACTTCTTTTCTTTCGGCTTGCATACGCAAATCCTTCTCCTTTACCATATTTTGCTTCGTTCGAGAGCAGCAAAGATCCAAGAATAAGTGCATACTTATAGCTTTTCCTTCAAGAAAAGTAGATGCTTGAAAGTTTGTCTTGATGACGGCAAGTGCAATCTTTAATAGCTCGGTCGTAGAAGTTGGGTCCTTTTGACTTTCGGGTCATATCAGTTGACCTTAATTCTTCGGGGAGAGAGAGAGAGAGAGAGAGGAGTTTAGTGGAGCGAAGAGTGCAGGAAAATTGCTGTCAAAGCTTTCCATGCACGGCGATAGACATTTCAGTGAGGTCAAAAGGGCTGGAAATACTGGTCGAAGTTTTCCATACAACTGGCTGCGTCTGAATCGGGGTTGGGTGACTGCACCGTTTCCACCGGGGTTGGTGGTGCTGTGCCTCCGGCCATCTGATGCATGTATTCCATCATCCATCTGTATCGACTGCTCTTCCTGAAAAGAGTCCATGTGATGAATGCTCAGAAATTGGCATAATAATTAGTTCTTTTTATCTGATAAGAACTTATAAATCATTTCATGATAATAATTCTAATAGCCCTATAGCTTCTTCCACTTAATTTGGAACACTTCCCATAAATTCGATCTCGATTACCGATCAAACTCAAATTTTGCTTAATGTATAAAACTATGGTCAAAACTTATAATTAACCCCTTAAATTCATTCGACCGACAAAGGGAGGGAGACCAAGCGCACTCCACCTTTCCTAAACCAGTTTGATCGAAGTTGAACCGATCTGGATTCAATCTGAACCGGACCGAATTCCAATTGAACCAACTTGAATCGAGTTGAACATGCCTGGAATCGAGCTGAACCGATTTGATCCAAGTTGAACCCGCCTAACTCCCGGCCCGAGCCCACGTCGGGTCCAACCGGCATTGGGTTCGGTCCAAGCGAAGTCAACCCAACCCAATAGCCATCCTTTTTTACTAATATCATAATTTTAATTTTAATTTTCAAAATTAAAATTTTGAATAATTTTATTTTATTAATGAGTACCAAATATTTTTATGAAACAATAAGCAAACAATAATTCTAATATTTGAAACTCAAAAAATAGACTGATTAAGTCTAATAATTGCAATTAAGGCATGACTTAATTATTTATTTTTGCCATCTCAGATGTGCCAATATGATTCTTGCCTTGACATGCTGCTTTGAATATTACATGCATCATTGTCATGAAGAAACCAAGTCCTTCATAATCATCACCCTTTTCCCTCTTGCTTCACTTTTCTAGCCTTTGGTCTTCACCAGAAACATGAAGCATGATGCCATCCATCGCCAAGCATGCATCGATGCTCCACTCCTGCATGCTTCTTCCTGAAAGTGAACATGTTCTTCATCAAACAAGAGAAGAAAACTAAGCAAAGCAGCATACTAAACATTGCTGCTCTTTCTTCTTTTCTGCCTTTCTCCTTTACGCATGAATAGTGTATTGTAGTCCTTTCGAGGAATGTCTGCTTTTGTTTCTGCACCTCAAGACAGGTCAACTTACGAATCATGATGTTAAAGTTCCAAGCTAATAGATTCTGCTAGTAGGGAAGTAGATTAGCTTGTTGGACTCGCATTGGTGAATTCAGATCCATCTCTAAACAGAAAGAAGCACTGCTATTAGTTTATCTTTGGTGTTTGTGGTTGCACTAACAGTACCTACCTTTGGGGCCTGAGAATGAGACCCACATCGGATTTGATATGCAACACTATGAGGTTTTCATCGGTTCTTTTGCTAGAGGAGGGTGGTCCTCTTGGTTTCCGGCAGAAGAACATGGTGGACTGCAACTCTTTCCCTTGATTTCATATTCTCTGTTGTAATCCATGGAATCATGCCAAAGCAAAAGTGTCCATCACCCTAGAAAAGAGAAAAAGGACCACACCGAGTCACTTCTTGCAACTCCAACCCACAAATGAGCTCCACCGCCCTCGTCGTCCATCTCTCCACCGTTCCTCCCTTCCCTCCTAATGCAGGAGACGAAGAGTCCACGGCTCAGGCAAGAGAATTCCTCACCGTGCTTCCCTTTGCACTGCATGTTCTTGTTTTGCATGATACCAATGATATATGAGATGTTCATGTCGCAGAAAGCCGTGGTACCGAAGAGTGATGGAGGTCATTATTCTGTGGAAGGCCATAGCAAAAGCTCCGGCGGTGGAATCAAACGATGGAGTCTCACCGAACTCCACCAAGCCAAAGCTAAGGAAATGCACCTCCTTGAAGGCAGCATCTTCCTTCACTCGAGTCTGTCTCTGTGCTCCAATCTCTTCCTACAATGAGGTGTTTCGGGCCGACGTCCCGCCGCGAAGAAGCTACAGTTGCCCGACGTCGAAATCTTTTGCAACGGCACCGGCTCGGCAGATGATGAGCACGAGGAGTTTTGTGGAAGGGAGGAGAGTGTTCAGGGGGAAGTCACTGACAGATGACATAATGATGAGGAGGTTTGTGGCGGAGGAGGAAGCCATGATGCAGCTGAGGAGGAGGAATCAGATGGAGTTTGTGAGGAAGAGGAATGCCATGAGGAGGAGGAAGAAGATCGGGCCGAGTCCTCTCAGGAGGATGGTGATGGCTGGAGAAGATTAATTCTCAATCTTCTTTTTGTTCTTGTTTTCTGCCATTAAATGAATCTGTACAAGCATGTTCAAGAACATGGATCCTTGGTTTGTTCATCAGATCATCATGTTATGGCTGGTGAATGTCTTTCTGAATTGATGAGAGCACTATATTTTTATTAAAAATAGTAAATAATAAATATATCGTTCGAGACTAATTATAGATTATCTTTGTAATCAACTATATTTAATATCTTGATCCAGAATTATATTGAGATATCTATATTTATCAAAGTAGAATATTTAAATATGTTATTATGAAAAAACCTTTTTTCTTGATTTTTTAATAATATAAAATTATTTTTTTAACTCTGTATAAAAATCTTACTATTTTATTTTTCGTATTACTTTTGAAAGTGTAAGGATTTGAATATTAAAGGTATCTAATTGTAAGAATAATCTATAATTAATCTAATGTTCACACTAGAAATAACTTAAATCACTTATATAATAATAATTTGATATAATTATTTATTATTATTTATAGAGTCAAAACATACTAAGGATAGCAATACTATCATTTCGAATTAAGTTAGAATATATTAAAATAATAAATAAATAAATAAAAAGAAAATGTTATGAATTAAAATATAATTAGTTTAAGTGATATTTTTGGGAACATAAATAAGATGAGTTATCCATTGCAACTTAAAGTGTTCCGGAAGAGCACGTTAACTGGAATCCTCTTCCCCAAGAAACACACCTGTAACCCCTAAACCCCTCTCTCCTTTCAATTGCAAGGCGGCTATTGAGATTGAAGCGGAGCGGCTTCTCCTCCTTCTTCTTTATCCATAGACACAGAGAGAGGGAGATGGATCACTTGGCAGCGATGGAAGAGCGCTTAGTATCCGATAGATTGAGAAGAAAGCTCGAGGATGTGAACGCCGCCGCGCAGAAGCAGCTCTCCCCCATCCAAGATCACGTCAATTTCACCCTCCAAGTAAGCTTCCCTCCCCTTCTTTACTCATCTTTCTTTGGATCGGTCCTTCGCAGAAGCAGCTCTCCCCCGTGTCGAGGTCGTAGGTCTTTTGGTAGATGATTTATTGCGAGCATGATGTATGTGGCATTGCAGCAAGCGTACTTCAAGTGCGCTTATGAGTGCTTCGACAGGCGGCGGAAGCAGGAGGAGATAAGCAACTGCGTGGAGCATTGCAGCGTCCCGGTTCTTAATGCCAACAATATGGTTGAGACTGAAATGGCGAAGTTTCAGGTTTTCCTGTTTTCACATTCTCGTTTTCCGTTCTCCAAGATATTAATTTTGTTCGTGATCTTGATCGTTTGGATTAGTAGGAGAAGATATCTCCCATTAAATTAAGCTGGGAAAACGAGAACCTTGTTGTTGGGTAATTAGAGATAATTGGCAAGAGATATCTCAGAGTTTATTACAATGGCATACGTAGATATACATAAGAATTTATGCAAATGCAAGTTTGTTAAGAGTTCTATTGTATGTTGCTAATATGCATCCTGTGGTATTCGAAGTTTATTACAGTGTAATCTCAGAGTTTATTACAATGTCATATGTAGGGTATACATAAGAATTTACTACATTGTATGTTGCTGATTTTCATCCTGTGGTATCCGGATTCTATAAATTTCCAAAACTATGGACAAAATTTAATATTTCAAAAAAGCAATTTTCAGCCTAGTGTTAAGTTAAAAAAGATGTTGAACTGCTGGTGAAACTTGAACAAATTGCTAGCTGGATGCCACAAGTTGAAGTTTCAGTGACATAGAGGCTATTGATGAGAAAGTCATAAGTTCAATGGCCTTCAATATATATATATATATATATATATATATATATATATATATATATAGTGGTATTTGCAAATTCCGGTATGATAGTTACCTTCTAGTATCATGCATGCTAAATAAAACAATAAAATTATATTGTTTTCTTTTCTTTTTCATGCAAATTCCGGTATGATAATGACTTTCTTTTCTTTTTCATTTGGTTCTTTGTAACCTGGTTAGAAGCTGAAGGGCTAAAATTATATTACACAATAAAACATTGTAATTAGGATTTTTAGCAAGTTTGGGCAAGATTATTAGTGTTAGGATAACATAATCACTTTCTTATCCTTTGTAAGGTAGGAAGAAAAGGAATCTTCCTACTGTAGTGGAAGAATTTGAAGTAATGAACGATAATTGATTTTTGTAGTGTCCAGGTATACCTTATTGTGTTTTTTGTCAAAATATATGTAAAGACGTATTGATGCTGAATCAATTCTAATTTGATGATTCTTAGTTTTATAATTTCTATTGTTGTGTTGTTGCATTAACTTAATTAATTTAGATGATGTATTGCTTATGGAGGCATAAATTTGAACATCTTTAGGTTGTGTTGAAGAACATGATTTCAGTCAGCAGACCCGTATTGTTCCCCTCTTGGACCAGTTAGGCACAGGCATGATTGCGAAAAAAAAGAGAAAAGCAAATAGAAATGGAAGGAGGAAAAAGAAAGAAGGGGTAGGGGTGACCGATTTACCTTCTTGCTTGACTTTTTCTTTTTCTTTTTCTCCATCTCCTTGCCCTTTAGAGTTTCAAAGGGAGAAACTTTATAGAAGTCATGCCAGGAAGGCATGTATGGAGCCATATGTTGCAAACTTGTACCACATTTTGACTGGCCCACATCCTAAAATCTATCAAACATGGCCTCTTCTAATCAATCTTACTGATTTTTGACCGATTTCGAAGGCTTTTGAATGTCCTGATCCATATTGTCTGATACTTGGTGAACCACAAGACAGACCTTGTTTGGACCAGGATCTACTGCCCAAAGTGCCACACTGGAACAGTATTTTCCTTGGATTGTACAACAGTTTGCATGGTATATTTCAAATATGTCATAATCATATAGGAATTCAGAACGAAATTAAACTTTGAGTTTCTTAATCAAATAGTCTTGATAGTAGTTTATCTTCAACCTTTGTAACTGAGCTTACCATCCACATGCTGTGATTGCAAAACAGAATTCTATCTTCTTTTTCGCCTTTTGTTTGCTTTCCACCTAAATACATTGTAAGCCAACTGACTGGCCTTTTTAAGAACAAGGATGTTTCCTTTGTAACATAACTTTCTCTTACTTTTTCCAGCTGCATTTGCTGTGTTTTATGACTGTCTTAACTTGATGGCTATATTGTAACACAACTGAGTTGCCCTGTTTGAAAACATTATTTTCCTTTAAAACTCAATTACTTTTCACCTTTCAGGAACGACTGAATCGGTCTTTAATGGTGTGCCAAGACAAGTTCGAGGCAGCAAAACTCCAGAAAATCAAAACAGATGCCATGACTGACCTAGAGTCCTGCGTAAACAAGGCTATTGATGACAGCCTAGGCGCCCTCCCACATGTTGTTGATCACGTCAAGGCTTCTCTCTCCATCAACTGAGTCTTCTAATTGGCTTCAGGATTTCAAGCAATTTAACTCACGATAAAAACAAGATCAGAATTTTATGGACTCCTGTTGATAAATTTTTAGAAAACATGTGCAGGAGGCAGGCAAAAAAATGATGACTCGTGGTTATTCCATTTTATTGAGTCAAGCAGCATTTCATGCAATTGTTTTCTGTATTATCTTTTTAACCATAAACTGTATCTTATCAGTCACCCTTCATTCAGAAACTAACTGCAGGTGATCCTGCATTGCAAACATTTTAATACCTTTGTTGGTTTCTCAAAGAATTCCTGAAATTAAATTATTTATCTTGCTGTCAGAAGCCTGCCTTGACATTGTATTATGTGTAAATATTAGGTTGTTTTCAGATTATGATTCTTGCAGCTCCTTTCTTGTAGAGTATCGTCCATATTAAGCGCTGCAGGTTGCTTATAATCTTACTGCTCCTTTCTTATGGAGTATCTTCAAGCTTAAGCAACGGAGTTGCTTAAAAGTCTTCCAACAATCACATTGGATGTGAGATTAAGACTTTTAAGTTGATATGTTGGATTGGTATTACATTTTACCCAATTTTGAAGGTGTATAATGAAGCTGATATGTAAGATCTGATCTCAAAATCAAACTATTATATTACTCAGTTTACCTAAAACATTGTATTATATTATGTTTAGTTTAAGATGTTTGTCTGCCATATAGAAATGTCAAAACTTTCATTAACAATTTTATTCAATTTTTTAGATTAAATTAATATATTTTGTCGATTCATATCCATAAACATAATTGCTAAGGAGCCCAAGAAAACAGCAAAGCATTAAAATTCAAGCCAGAACAGTTCAAAGCGAGCTTCGAGTTTTTTCTCTATAAAAAGTTTTTTTATTTCATCAATCTTGATCTCAGTAGAAAGTATTAATTTCATCAGTCTCGATCTCATTACGTTGAACTTTTTCTCATAATTCATTCAATAACTCGTATCGAAGTGCCTACCAACCATTTCATGCTTCAAACCATTTCATGCTTCAAGAGTTTCCCACATCAAAGTCTACCAAAAAGCATGTGCCAGAAACAGATCAACTGCTTGCAAGAACATTCTATATTCTATAAACATGACACTGTTTGCCAACCTAAGAGATCACACATGTAGCAGAAACTATATAAACAAACAAAAAAAAATCAAAACAAAGTGTTCTTGCTAAAAGCCAACTGCAATTTAGCCATGCCATGCAAGGAGAAAGCAACACACTTAAATCTTCTCTAAGCAATGCAGTGCAAGATAAGGGAAAGTCAGGTTGACAATACCACAATGTCAGAGCATTGCCATCATCTCAAGCTTAAACATAAATTTGCTCAGTTTGTAAACCTGAATATCAAGATATTATTACAAGACTGAAAGGAAAAGAATTCATGAAACCTCTTTCATATGATTGATAAAATGTAAGCCAAACCTTTTCAACTAGTTCTTTTTATTTTTGTCGCAAATTTTTTAACAGAGCACAACGTGTAATGCACCCATCTCAAAATTTGAATAAAATCCGCAAAATACCCCAGACAAGAATTGTTGAAGTTAATGTCAAGGCTCGGGTTGCATCTTCTCGCACTCATCCCGTATTGACTGGAAGAGGACAGAAGAGAGGTACCTCTCACCAAAGCTTGGGAAAACAACCTGAACCAGCAGAAAAGGTAGTCATAGAATTATGATGTGAAAAGAAATGTGAAAAAAGCAAATGGGAATAGTACACATTTAATGTCATACCAAGTCGATTTAGAGTGCTTCAACAAGAAGTATATGGGAATAGTAATATTTACATGTCAAATAATGAAGAGTTGATTTAGCTTGATTGTGCATAAAAACACTTCAAAGTAATGATGGCAGGTACAAAAGAGAAGAATTGTCTCAATGAAATAACAAGTCATAGTGCAGGCATGCCTAAGAATTTAGGACAGAGGCTCAGTCATTTATTCACGAACAAAAATCAGGTTATAACAAATACAGAAAAATACAGAACTGTGCATCAAATCCACAACAAATCAAATCACATTGCAGAAAAGCATATGTAAAATTAAATTAAAATAAGGTAGTGGATAATATCACCACATTACTACAATTACATTGTAGCTTTGTGTCTGTTCTCATTATAGTGCATTAATCATATACTTCAGTTTTGGTCAAGCAACACTTGAAAACGATGTTGGAACAAGCATGACTAGTACTTTCTCTTAGACTAGGAATTTTTCCTTTCATTTAAGGATTTTATGTATGTTGTCATTCTCTTTAGAGTCATGAAGTTATGTATGTTTCGTCATAAATACAGGGGGGAATATTGACATACCACTATAAGTTTCCCAGCATTTTCTGGTCTCCTTGCAACCTTCATGGCAGCAGCTGCTGCTGCTCCAGAAGAAATACCAACCTGAACAATAACATCAATTACTAGCAAGCATTACTCAAATAGATCAGACACAGACACCTTCAGTGACTTAATGACTAGCGTCTACAGAACCACACCTAATATGAAAACATGGTTTTGTGGGTTCTTAGAGAAACTTGGTGTCAGAGAAAGCATCTCAAATGGGAAAGAGAGCTAGATCTAATAGTCTAGCAGCACATAAGTAACATACATTGGGCACTTAAACAAATTAACAAAGGACAGCCTCTTCTTTAATTTTCCTCTCATACACTCATGTAGCAATGCACTCCGTTATAACAATCGATGGACATACCTTTCAACATTAAAAGGACAACATGATGCGGGTACAGATGCCATAAAAAATTCAAGGTGTCAAATGAATATAGTTTGAGTAAGCTGTGTTTTTCTTTATATTTTTGATATTTTTGAATTATTTTTCCTTATATTAAACTCCTACTTTTGGTTGTATTCTTGTTTTCTAGTATTACTTCACGTATATATTATCTTGGAAGACTTTATAGCCACAAATAATTATATTTTGAAAGATCTGAAAGTATCTTTCTAGATCATTTTATTTCTTTTTATTTAGGAAGTCACGAGTGTGCTATTTCTAACATTTGAAATTCCTATCATTACAGAGCCAAAAATATTTTTAAATAGTGGACCTAGTGTCATATTAGGGCTGTTTTTTTGTAATCAAGGTGACCAGAGTTCCAATTATGAATTATAGAAATAAAACTGTAAACACTGACCCTACCAGTGCTTGTACTGGCAAGAGCCTTGTTCACTAGACCACCCTTCTTCTGTATAAGACTTGCAAGCCTATGTCAAGGCTAAGCTTATTGAAGATGATCATACTAAGCATTTAAGTCAAGAAGCTATGTGTTTCTTTATTTTTCAGAAGGTGTGTTTTATCATCATCAACATGCGAGGCATGGTTAGTGTAAGCTAGTCAGAACTAGCTACAGAAGTGAACCGTAACACTAACCATGGTAAGTGTGTTTCTTTATTTTTGGTTGTTATTCTAATTTTTTTTGTGAATTTTCATCTTCTCATGAATTTGATGCTTTCTTTATCAATTCTTCACCAGATATTAAAATTTCTACACGTTTTTTAATCAGATTTCATAGTCTTAAATATATGGGAGCATCAGCATTCTGTCTCACAAGAAGTTAGATGAGATATTGATGCATAAACCCTTCTTTGTTTCATCAGCCGTGAAATTTGAGCAAAGCTCTTTGATGAATTTGAAACTGTAAGAAGTCAAATTATCTTTTCTGTCTAAATTCTCTTTAAAAGTCTACCTCATTTCATGTCCTACACCTAAGAAGCTAGGGGTCTGTCATGAGAATTAGCAAGAATGCAAATTCATAAAATGATGTAAATTTGTAAAATAAATACAATGATTAATGCATCATGGTCATCTTGTCTATATAACAAAATAGACACCTCTTCATTAACATTGGTATGCATGAATATAGATAATCCATCAAGGCCCAATTGAATTGTTATAGTACAGTGATGTTGAAAGGTTTAGCTCCGCGATGGAGCTTTCACTCCAAAAATCAAATTCAGTGATGTTCAAACCTTAATGATTGATCAGGATCATGGCAGATAGTAATCAAGCATTTTATTTTTCAATTTTAAAAGTAATTTAAGTGAATTTGCAAATTCCAAGATCTGTTCTAGTAAGATTATAGGAGAAGCGTCAGCTAAGTTGATCATAAGATTATGAAGCTTTCTAATAACTACTGCATGCATGCTTTGATAAAGGAAAATGTTTATTAACATGAATATGAATGTATGCTAAACAATGTAGTGGATCAAAAGCCTGGAATCAAACCTTATCAAGAAAGTATACATACCAGCAATCCTTCTTGGAGAGCCAACTGTTTTGCAATTTCAACTGCTTCATCACTTGATATCTGTGGTAAAACAAGCACAGCAAACAAAAAGAATACTATCAACCATTAAAGCTTCTGTTGATACAGGTAAACATATCAAGTCATAAAGAGGGCTCAGTCCAATAGTAATTTTAAATGGAATAAGTCTAATTTCCACATCTCACTGTCCATTGGCAAGAGGCTCAAAATAGTTGTCAGTTGAGACATGGAAATTGGATTATTTAAATAAACATACAACTTGAATAGGTCGTCACCATTTTCTCCCATTAAAATTTTGATTGGACCCTCCAGTTCTCGCATCTAAAACTTCCATTGGTTATGCTAAATCATTATAAAGAAACTAAACGTTTTAAATTTCTTATGGCTCTTTTATTTTAAAGTTAAGATTATTTTTTGGCCAATCCCAGACCGCTGATTTACCCACTTTATCTCAATTGCGATCCCCTGGATCTCAGAAGTGATTTTGATTTCAATTTTGTCTGAAATCAAGTTTGAGTGCACACCATTTCCCATGGTTAGGTCTAGTTATAACAAGCCATGAAATAACATGGCAACTGACTTTGACTAGCTGCCTAAAACTAAGCCCATCAACTTCAGACAACAATCATCCATCTATTTGTCAAGATTCCAAAGGATTTGGACAAGTAGACCTCTTAGTATCTTCGGAAGTTCCCATTGATAGAAAATCCAGATAACACAGTTGAGCATCAGCAGATAACTCAAATTGGCAATATTAGTGCCAGATTTAGCTCAAATTACAGACTATATGATAATTAGTATAATCACTATAACTACTAAAATAACATGAAACTGGTTTCTAATGCATCGACAAATGGAATCACGCTTGTTGTCATAGTTGTCACTTATCAATGAAGGGATTGGAATGTAATAATATAGAAATTGGAAATAGGAGCAATCCTTGAATAGCACTACACTCATGGAGATGACGAAGTTAGGTGAGGCCTTAAGAAGTGTCTGTGCGACACTATTAAAAAAAAGGAAATGAAAGGAGTAATATGGAAATAGGTATAGACACTACAAAGGCTGGATTAGATGAAACAAATTATAGATGATCCAAGAACCTGTGATCCAACATAGATGAAACAGCTGGCTCACCGATGTTTCTTATAATAAAAAAATATTAAAGCATCTAGCTGAAGTTCTCAAATATTAAGGAAAGATATGCAAAAAATATTAAGAGACCAATAAAAACACTGCTCAGTAATATAGTTAAACCTTCGAGTGCAAATTATTCAACAAGCTCGTACCTCTATAATTTCATCAACTACTTCAAGGTCCAAATTCCTTGGTACAAAACCTGCACCAATGCCTTGGATTTTGTGTGGACCTATATGATAAGGCTTCATGTTAAATGGGTAAAACATAAGGTTGAAGCAAAACACATAAATATTGCTAAATCTTAGTTATACCAGGCTTTCCTCCTGAAAGAATGTTGCTTTCACTAGGTTCAATGCCAATGACCTTAAGGAGTTGTGGAAAGAAAAGCAAGACCATGAATTAGGATTTAGAAAGGTTAAAAAAGAGAAAGATTAGCAATGAAAGGATAAAACAGAAAAGGAAAAACACCTTAATGTTAGGATTTTTTTCTTTCAAAAAGTGGCCTACACCAGATATGGTTCCGCCGGTCCCAATTCCAGCAACAAAAATATCCACTTTGCCGCTAGTATCTTCCCAGATTTCTGGACCAGTAGTCTCATAGTGTATCTACACCAAGAATATACAAAAACAAATATAGAATAGTATTTAAAGAATGACAGGAAGACTAGCGAAATATATTCATGGTAAAATGTCACCTTTGGATTTGCAGGATTGTCAAATTGTTGAAGCATGTAAGCATTAGTCGTCTTCTTTAAGATCTCTTCCGCCTTTTGAACTGCTCCCTTCATGCCCTTGGCAGAGTCTGTAAGGACAAGTTCTGCTCCAAAAGCTTTTAGCAGAACTCGCCTCTCGATGCTCATAGATGCAGGCATGGTCAAAATCAGCTTGTATCCTTTTGCAGCAGCAATAAACGCCAGACCAATCCCTGTGTTCCCACTTGTTGGTTCCACCAGAATACTCTTTAAATGCAGAAAGCAGGATAAAAATTAATAAAAATAAAGTAACAATGAGCATGACAATAGAAATATCGATTTACATATTGCAATAGATCCTACACTAAAAGTTCCACTAAGGGAAAAAAAAAAGGAAAATTAACATTTTAAAATACATCGAGAGCTGAGATAATTAACGCATTTGAAAGATTCATTTAAATTTACAGCAACTATAATTAACTCTAGCATGAATTTTTCATGATATCAGAATAATATCCAATTTTCAGCAATGAAATTCTATATTTATTTCCTTGATATCTAAAATTTAGCTTGTTAAGAAAATTCCATAACAAATTGACTAAAGTAATTTATTACATTGTTCTATCTAATATAGAAATATGCTTTACAACTTACAAAAGAACAACCATCCAGACTTGTCCAACCTTAAATGAAATGACTTTACAAATCCTTATTCATCTTCAAATCTTACAATGGGCTACCAAAGGTGTCATGAGGCCTTCTCTACTTATTCTTACATATAACCTTATATGCCTATAACAATCCCTAAGAGCATTCTGGTAATCTGAACCTCCTCATTTTCATGGTAAAGTGCAGGCTCTGACTCTTATTTGACTCCCATAATCAGTATTAACTCAAGGTGGCAATAGAAACCTATAAGCAAGCAAAGGGCAAAAAACAGTCATCCACTTACCTTTCCAGGAGTTATAACACCCTTTTGTTCGGCATCAGCTATCATACTGTACCCTATCCTGAAGATGAGTTTGAACAGATAACATCAAAAGTATCTAGTCAGTGTCTTTTTAGAAAATTCTAAATAAATAAAGAGCATACCTATCTTTAACACTGCAGCAAGGCTCCATAATCTCAAGTTTGGCGGCAATGTTTGCAACACATCCCTTTACAATATTATTCAGATAAACCATCGGTGTCTTCCCTATCAACTGTGAGAAAGCAGCCAAAAACACAATTTAGCAATAGTCAATGTCTAGTGGAGTATTAAATCATAATAACATACACTGAGAAAAATAGCAATGAAAAGCATAATAAGCATCACTTCAAGATCATGGATATTACTCCATTTCTTGTGGGGTCACATTTTCTTCAGTTGATGGTGTCTTCTTACTTCAATATCTAATTTATGTTACTTCTTGGGTTGTTCACTAGCTTATATCAAAAGATTCGTTCTTCATTATTTCAGAGTATGTCTTCATATAATGTCTCTTTTTCAATCAACTTGTTATATTAATATCTCCATTTTTTAAGATGTGTCCCCAAAACTTTGAATAAAGGATTGAATTTTTAGATAGGACAATGGATTTTGTGACATGCTATGACAAGTAGGTGCCAACTATTTTGCCTTATGGCAAAGTCATTTTTTGGCCTATTTCACCAGCATGAGATGTTCGTCCGCAAATATACCAAGCTCTCCCATGAGACCAATACTTTAATTGGCTTTACAGAGTTTTCTTCTAATTCATGGTAGAGATCATGAGGTATGATCTAGCTCTTTTTCCATGAATTCTGGTAATTTTGAACCATCTATTACAGACACCTTAGGATTTTAAAACTCTATTATGTGGTTTATTTAGTCAACAACAAACTATCATTCAAGAGCTACCTTTTGTCAGGACCAAGAGTTCATGATTCGGACTAGAAATTTCCTTTTTTTTTTTGGCTTCTTGAGGCATCAGTTTCTAAAAAATCCCTATCTTGCTTTTGTTAGCGGCAAATTGAGCACCACTTTTATATAGCATTCCTCACAAAAGTAAATTGTTAGACTCGGTTATTTATCTAGTATACAAGTATAACCAATTAGTGGACAAGTTCGGCTACTGCAAGTACTTTGGACAAAATAGCAATTATTTTTTAACAAATTAATTATGCAACAAATTCCTTTGTTTGTTGACATATAAAGACTAATCACACTTTAACATGGAAGGTGTCAGAAAGAATTGCCATATACTACACCAGCAACCTGGAGTCATGAACTCAGATAAAAAGCTTCAGTGAAGCTTCTAAGACTGGTACTGTTGACTTAATTACTTCATCAACACCGCATGGAAAAGGTGCCAATGCATCTAAAAATCCAGTAGAGCTGATGCACAGACTATTAGGTAGCCTCATATATTGCTTTAGTCAAGAAATATAAACACAAAACACAGATACCTAATTCAAAGCATCACACAGGTAATTTCTAAAAATGATGCCTATATGGTACTTTCTCTTTTTTTTTGGCTGATTTGAATTCTATGATCACCATAGCATCCAGAATGATGCATGTTGAATAAGTTATTCAACATAACCGTGCCAGGCATTGATCTCCTCAATGCAACTCCAAAATCTTTTCAACTATCAACCAGCAAAACTCAAAATGCTCTTGTTTTACATGTGTTTTAAGGTTCTACTTCAATTGTCTCATATATTTCCATCCACCTGTCGAAACTAAACAATACAGTTCTTTCACCGTTCTTAGATTACTAAGAAAGCTTCTTAGTTTAAAAGAGAAACCCATAAATTTCTTCCATAAATAATCAAAATATGCAATTGAAGTCATGAATGCAAATAATCGGTCAGGTATAAGAAATTAAGGGAATACTTTTTATCATCAACTCTCTCGTCAGTCAAGATTTACTTTTTAGAACACAAAAAACAAATTCAAAGTTCAGTCGACGGAGCTTTAACAAACAGAAACACATAAACTACAAACCAAAGATTTCATCTTTCCTTTTTCATCCAACGATTTCCAACCACAAGACACTGCAACTTACCCTTCCCACATCAGAATCTACAAGGAAAGTAGGGTTCTCGGTACCTGAGTAACATCTTCGGCTATGTTGAGGCCTTCAATCTCCGTCTGCGGCTTCGACGAGACAGTTTTGCAGGAAACGTCGCGGCGAGGAGATCCGGAGCAGGCATAGGCGACGGCTCTCTTTCCGATCGACGCGGTGCACCAGAGGGATCGGGAGGGGAGGAGGGAGGACCGGGAACGGATGGAGTGGAGCAGGGGCTCTGGCGAGGATCGTGATTGGGCGGCGAAGGAGGACGCCATGGTGCTCGCGAGAGACGCCATTGAGTTTAGGGAAGAGGAGGAGGAGGAGGAGGAGGAGGAGGGGGAGCGGGGGTGGGGGAGGGGGAGAGAAGGAGGAGTGAAGCGTAAAGAGACAAAGACGATGACTTCGCGTCAATGGCGGAGATAAATAGAGACTTTTTCTTATTTATTTTTAATTTTTTAAATTAGTACTCGGAATATTTCAATTTATCTAAAAGTCCTTAAATTCTGAATAATTAATTAAGATGTTTCCCAAATTCAATAATTATTGTAGGGGTAGATTTTATTCTCAAAATATAATATTACTGCATACATTAATATCATAAACATAATTTTTCCATTTTTACTCTATTTATTGTTATATTAAACGTGATTTACCAAATTAAAAGGTGTAAAATAACCATTCCACGGATAAAATTGAGTTGAATTGATCAAATCATATGGAATAAGAGACATGCATCAAAGGGATATTAATATAACTGATAAATTGTAGAGTATTAATACACAGAACCAAAAAAATCATAGATATGAATTATATTTCATTAATGACTTATGACAATATTATATATATATATATATTATATGGTGGTAATAATAAAAATAATAATAAAGAACATTTCAGATGGTTAAAATTTTAGTATTTTTAAAATTCAATTACAGTTTTGAAAATAAATATTTAAAATATGTGTGTGTGTGTGTGTAAATCCAAATTTTGGAGGGGTAGATTAAAATTTAGAGGATTATTTTTTTATTGGGATGAATGAGGACAGGAAAGTGGGAATTGTACAGCCATTGTATTTAAACAAAAGCAAGTAGAAAAGTCAAAAAAAGAAAAAAGAGATAAGATAATTTAGCATTGGTTGGAATATGCCAAATCACTTTCGATGGTGTTTGTTGATGGAACATACATGACAACCATGCACACCAGCTTTATCATTATAGATTGTCCATCTCTAATATCATGGCTTAGAATAATTGCTTGTTTATAATAACTTCACATGTTGCATGAACCTATTTTCTTAATAATAAGTAGAATGACAATGAATTAAATATCCATCTTTTGATAGAGATCTTGTGATGAGGGATTTTGCATGTGCTATTATTCCTTCAAAAAAATAAATTTAAGATCGTTGCATAGGTAAGATTATATTGTATTTCTTCATAATTGTTAGTCTAAATGGGCCTTAATGGGCCGGCCTATACTGCATAGATGAAGACCGTTTCAGGGGCCGTCGCGATATGTATGCCCTCGCCCATGACTTGGACGATCTGAACCGTCCGTTCCTTTTAATCGTCATCGGCCGTTGGATCGCGTCTTTAGGGTTTTTATAAACCGAGACGAGCCTTTCTCTTGGAGTCTCTTTGCTCCTCGTCTCCATTGCCGCGACGCTCTTTGAGATCGGAGCAGACAAGGAGGCGCAATGGTAAGACCGTTCAACTCTTCCTCCTTCCTACTGCAAATCTCAGTGATTATGCCTCTAAGTCGTTGCCAGTTTATTGATCTAAGGATCTCGACATTTTTGAGCTTTGGGGTCATAGGCTAACCACGTCTGGCGCTTGGTGGTCTAGGGTTTCTTCATATGTATTGGCTATATGGTGTTGGTGTTCGCGTACTAATTTTTCGTGCTCGAAAGTGGGCATCTTTTGGGGTTATTTTCGACTAGGATGAAGGATAATGGATACCGGATTTTTAGGATCTGATGTTTTCGGCTATTCATGAATTTTTTGATGTGCTTAAGGTCTGCAGTGTCTCGTAGATTTTATTTGTTTGGTTTAATGTTGGTTTTCCGCACGTTTGAGAATTGGAAAGGAGACTTTATTTGGGAATTGTCCATTTCTTCTTCTTCAATGCTTTATCAGATGGACTTTCCTGAATCTTATATACATTTAACGGTACCTAATTGATGCTGTGGTAAGTCGTAGTTTCATTTTTTTTAATCCGATAGAGATATTGCAGATTTGCTGGTGGTCTAAGATGAATTTTATTTAATGAAACTGGACCAAGGAATTTTCTAGACATTGCATCATGCAGATGTATTGATTCATTCAATTCTCACTGAAGCCTTTGATTGTATCGCTTGACCTATTCCCGCATTATTAGTTGTCTGTTTCTGTACTTGATTTCCACCTGAATGTTGTAATTAATTCGATGCAACATAGAATGTGTATGATTTTTATGCCATGTAACCACTATTATGACTGACTTCCAATAATGTCTAAATTTGAAGATGTTTTTCTCTAGGTCCTGGATGCCTTGGGGTCTTTTGTGATTCTTTAATATGCTTTTCTAGCAGACAACAAATTATTTTGGGCATCCTGTAGGATTGGGTTCTTTCTTTGTGTGCCAGTCAGCTACAACTGTGATCATAGAGAACCAGTTGAACTGTGCAAGTGCCGTAGTCGCGGAAAGTAAGATTAACTTGCAAATGAAACCAAATCAGGATGTTAAGTTGGTTATTAAGATTGAAAGTGCACAAATACAAAGCATCCACCTATTGAGGTGGTAGAGATTTCCTACAACATAAATTGTAGTGGATCTCTTCATCATCCACCTTCCTACCAGCTATTTTAGTGAAGTCCAAATCTGAAATTAGATATGCTTCAGGATCCAATCTTCGCCAAGGAATTTGTTGTACCAGACCATGTAGGTAGGTACCGGGTTGTATTTTATTATTATTTTCTCAGTGATACTGGATATTACAATTTAGTATACCACCTAGTATACCAGAATCACATTAGTCCAATCAGTTACGGAACTGGTATTAGATCAACATTTAAATTCCTAGACCTTTCTTCCATTATGCCATTTGTTTGGTTTTGTTATGCATTTTCTAGATCTATTTTATGACCAAGTATTATTTTTGTTCTAGGTTTTTGTTAAAGCTCACAAGTCTAAGGCTTACTTTAAGCGTTTTCAAGTCAAGTACAAGAGAAGGAGAGGTATAGTTATTCTGAAATCTTATTCCTATTTAATTTTCAAGTCAAGCATAGCCAACATCATCTGTTTTACTTTTTTCCCAGAGGGAAAGACGGACTATCGGGCAAGGATTCGGCTGATAAATCAAGACAAGAACAAATATAATACACCTAAATATCGTTTTGTTGTTCGCTTTGTATCCTGACATCAAGTTGTTCATTTTTTTAATTTACATTTCTTCTAAGTATCATTATGTGTTCTTAACTGAGTATGTGGTTAGACCAACAAGGATATTGTTGCACAAATAATATCTTCAAGTATTGCTGGAGATTTGGTCCTTGCTTCAGCCTTTGCCCATGAATTACCTCGTTATGGGCTTGAAGTAGGCCTTACCAATTATGCAGCAGGTTATCATGCATTTATTCATGTAAACTTTTATGCTTTCCCCTATTATATAATTGTTTGTGCTGATCTTCTTTCTACTATTATTTACACAAAATACAGCTTATTGCACTGGACTTCTTTTGGCCCGTCGTGTTTTGAAGACGCTTGAAATGGATGAGGAATATCAGGGTAATGTTGAGGTATAACGTTTTGTCTATGTGGTTCCAGACTTGTTACACTCTGTTTTGGGTCTTGCTCATCCACCCTTAATATTAATGTTTTTGTTATATTTTCAACAAAGGCTACTGGGGAAGATTTCTCTGTTGAACCTGCAGAGAGTAGGAGGCCTTTCCGTGCTCTTCTTGATGTTGGCCTTGTGAGGACAACAACTGGCAATCGTGTTTTTGGTGTTCTCAAGGTATGCTCATCATTTAGCATTCACACTCATGCTTGTGGCAGTCAGCACCTCTGTGTCTTAGATAATTCTGTGGAAACACAATAAATATTTTGATGATAGTGAAAGAATTGGCTTGAGTTGTATTAATGGATGAATGAAACTAATAATGTTTCCAACCGAATTATTGTAGAATATGAACTGTTAGACATGAAAAAGCCAGAATTCCGTGCTGAGAAATGATGTCAATGCATCACCTTTTCAATTAACACACAACTTGTTTTTATATTTTATATGATACATGCTTAGATTCAGAGTTGAGTTAATGGATGAATGAAACACATAATGTTTCCAACCCAATTATCGCAGAATAAGAACTGTTAGACATGAAAAAGCTAGAACCTCGTGCTGAGAAATGATGGTCAATGCATCACCTTTTCAATGAACACATAACTTGTTTTTATATTTTATATGATACATGCTTAGATTCAGAGTTGTATTCGCTAGTAATTGAAGTATCGACTGTTGCCACAATATTGGTCTTGGTAACATATTGGACCATATGGTACTGGAATACCTGGTGGTTTACTGACATGTACCACTCTGTATCAACCAATTAGATAGTAGAAAATAATAATGAATGAATTGTACTAGCACTTTGCCATATGTTCTGATATAATATTTGATCAGACTATAATATTGGTATTTATTGACTGGCATGGATTGGTAAATCAGATGCTTTCGTCTGCTCAAGATTCAAAAATGGATCTTTGATTTTATATTAATCTCAATGAAGATTGCATATACATGTTAAGTTTCTGTGTTTTCTTGTTATTCTTACAGAATCTATTAAGGAATTATCTGCATTGACTAAATTTAACTAGCAAGGAATCTATCAAGTCAACAAAAACTTGTTCAGCACTTGTTTAATTGTTGCCTTTTCACTTTCTGTTTAGACATTGAATATACATGTTATGTTTTTAAAGACAACATGCCGTTGACTTCGGCTCATCAAATGCCTTTTTGGAACTACTTTGCACTTATTAATACACGTCTTTTCTGTACATATATGCTTATAATGTTCTTTTTGTTTTGCTGTGCACCTAAGGTCATTTTATTAATTTTTAATTAACAATTATATTTACGTTTCACGTCTATCATGATGAAGGCCTGTTAGTGCATGTATAAACTCATTTGTCATCCTTAGTTATTGATTATAGAAATCTTTATCTAAAAACATTGTTCTGTTTTTTTTGTGTTGGAGGAAGCTAGTTTTATCTGGTTTTAACAATTGGGAACCTTTGTCTTGTCATCTGCAGGGAGCATTGGATGGTGGCCTTGATGTTCCACATAGTGATAAGAGGTTTGCAGGTTTTAAGAAGGATGAGAAGCAGCTTGATGCAGATTTTCATAGGAATTACATTTTTGGCGGCCATGTTGCTTCTTACATGAGGGTCAGGCTTCTGATGAGTATCCCCTTGTTAAATTTTTTCCAACTTATTTTGATTTAAATTAAAATGATGAATTTTGAATCACAATCCTTGCAAATAGAATATCATTACATATTTCATATTTCAGTTTCTTTTCTGTGAGGAAAAAAACAATAAGAAACCCATCTGGTATTTTTCCTAGCTTTCTTCAACTTAAGCATGGTCAAATGCTTGTGATTTTATTTTTAGCATCGTCTGTTATGTCATATGCTATCTATGATATAATGGACCTGAAATATGCATGTGGCTGTTTTGTTTCTGGAGTCATAACCTTGATGTTGGTTATGGGATGCAATCATGTTCCATACCTATTAGCCCGGAGCCTATGTAGGAGTCTGTATATTCTGCATTCTATTTTGATATATGTTAGTATTATTAGAGTGGTAAATAACCAACCTGTGCAAGCCTTTTATGTTATACAATTCAACCAATGGAAATTTGGTTTTACTACCGAATTGCAGTTGAAATGGTCAATAACTCTTTCTTGTCTTAAAAACTTTTCAGACACTGATGGAAGATGAGCCAGAGAAGTACCAGACACATTTTAGTGATTACATTAAACGAAATGTTGGACCTGATGACATGGAAGACCTATACAAAAAAGTGCATGCTGCCATTCGTGCGGACCCATCAACAGTGAAATCCACCAAGGAGCCTCCCAAGGAGCATAAGAGGTGAAGATGATATATCTCATTCTAATTTATTCAATTGTTTGTAGTAGCTCAATCTACATGTGCACTGTGTCCCATGTGACTGTTCAAGTTTCTGTGAGGAACACATGTAGTGTAAGTTGATGTTCTGTTCTAACTTATGTTTATTTGCTTTGTAGGTATAACTTGAAGAAGCTGACATACGAGGAGAGAAAAGCTAAGCTCATTGATCGGTTGAATGCCCTTAACTCTGCTACTGCTGACGGCTCTGATGAAGATGAAGATGATGAGTGAAGGAGCAGGGGTAGTTTAAATTAAATTTTGTTTGCATCAAATTATTATGGAATTATGAAAACAGTATCTTGAAACTTCCAGTTGTTTTCAGCACAAGGTTTCTTTGCATAAAACAAGGACATCCAAATTTTGCTGTTAGGTGAATGACAAACTTGCTGTTCAGGTGGATTAGCATGATTAAATTTGCTTCTACTATTATTCATTCTTCTCTTTGGACTCCTTGAGTTCATATTCATTCTATTCTCGAGCACTGCTGGATTAAGTTCATTTTTCATGTCATGAATCTCCAATTTCTTGTGTTATATTATCATAATTTTGATGTCCGAAGTTGCTGTGGGCGGCAAGTGTGTGGAAAATGGAATTGGTTCTTTTTACTCATTATTAATAGTCACTCGAAGTATGACATCAACTTAGTAAGTAGGACTGCACCACTTGTTATTTTTTGTATTACTGCACGAGATTGACTTGTCTTCCCAATTAATGCTTTCTCTGTTGTTGTCCTTCCTTTTGTAGTGTGTTGAGGAGCTGTTCAGGCTTCGTTCAACTGAGACAAAGAGGTGGTGCACATCATCCGGGAAGCACACGGCAATCTTTTCCAGACTCCGAAGCAAGCTTTGCTCACTGTTCTCCAGGAGACTCTGCTCCCAATGCCCAACAAAACCACATTGTAACATCTCTTTCTCCCTCTCTTCTGAATCCTGACAATGTTATACCCCCTTCCAAGAAATGTCCCATCACATCATCTGCGTTCCCCCATCTTTTAAACCTCATCTCCTCGGTGAGTTTAAACGATTCCCTCCCCACGGCAAACATCCACGTAATCCATCACTCCTTAAAACCTCTCCATTCTCTCTCATTCTCGCCGCCCTCTTCCCCTGTTATATGGGTTGCATCCTCCTCAAACCCTCTTCGGTTTCCTTATACTCTCCTTGTTAATCTTTGTTGGGTGACCAGCTGCGTACCTCTTGCCGCTGTACGAACGTTGCATGGCTACTGCAAACTCCCATGTTAAGGCCTACGCAACAGTACAAACCTTCACCACTCCCTGAAATTAGACGTCCTCTGGAACACTCTCCGTCTCTCTCACCATTAGACATCCTCTGGTACACTCTCCGTCTCTCTCACCAAAACAATGGCGGTGTTTGCCTTCTTCCTTTTTCTTCTCAGCTACACTCCTTTCCACTTCCGTCGCTCCATCGGTAGTACTACTGCTTCTGCAACGATCTACAACAGGAGGACTCTGCATCAACCCTTCTTCCCCTTAACGTTCTCTTCCTTCGCTCCAACCCAACCCCCTTCCTCTTCCTTCCCCAAGTACCCCACCTCCTCCTCCTCTTCTTCTTCCCACCACCGCCTCCGCCCCTTCTTCCCGTTACCCCCGTTCCCGCCGCCGCCTCCTCACCCGTTCCCCGCCACCATCACCACCCTCCCAACCTTTCCCGCTAACATATCCTCCCTCGGCTCCTCCTCCTCCGGCCACTCTTCTCCCAGGTTCGTCCCCGCGGTCGCTTCACCACTCCTCGCTCTCGCCCTCCTGGGCCTCTCGTTCGTGCTCTTCCTCCGTCTCCGTCGCCGCTGCCGCCGAGCGTGCGCCGACAAGGATGCCAGGTTCGGCAGCCTCGGTTTCTTCCCTTCCGATGCCGGCGCTCCTGACGGGCGGAAGCCCTCCGCCTCCTCATCGTCCGCCGCCGCAGCCGCCACCCCGGGGCCGTCCAGCTCGGAGTTCCTGTACCTGGGCACCCTTGTGAGCTCCCGCGTGCGAGAGAACGAGAGCTCCGCCGCGCAGCTGGCCGACGGTGGCGGCTCGCCGTACCGGAAGCTCGGGTCCCCGGAGCTTCACCCCCTCCCGCCGCTGCCGCGCCAGTTCCGGAGTGCCAACGCCGGTCGCTCGTCGTCCTCGGGGTTCTACTCGCCGAAGAACTCCCCTGGCTCCAAGGGGAGCGCTGCCGGCCTGGCGTCGAGCTCAAAGGAGGCGGCTTTGGGTGTGGAGGAGAGGTGCGGGTCGCGGAGCTCTACTCTGAGCACGCCTTCGTACGTGTCGTCCAATGTGGCTTCTTCCCCTTCGCGGTCATCTCCCACCACTTCCTCCTTACCTCCGTCACTGCTGCGGCTTTCGACATCGTCACCTCCGAAAGCTAGACCACGTTCCCAATCCCCACCCTCTTCACCACCGGGGGCGGACTACGATAGAAAGGTCGGAACCTTGCAATCTTCCGGAGAGAACTTGCGGTCACCAAATAAGATAGGGGACTTTGCTAAAGGCTCGATTGCTGTTGAGCTAAATCCGCCGCCGCCACCACCAACTGGATTCCAGAAGGATCAAAATGTGAAGATACCGGCTTTCCAGCCGCCGGTTCTGCTACCTCCCCGAAACTCTGTTGTGTGGAATTCTTCGATAACATCAAAGTATTCCAATGCAGCTGAGAAGCATGAGAATAACCCTCGCCCAAAGTTGAAGCCTTTGCACTGGGATAAAGTTCGAGCAAGCTCCGACCGCAAGATGGTGTGGGATCAGCACAACTCAGGCTCATTCCAGTGGGTCTTTCAGCTTAAAGTCTTGAAAGCATTTTCTTTATGCCTCTGTTGTTTCTTTGTCTGAGCTCATGGAGTTGCAGGCTAAATGAGGAGATGATCGAGACATTGTTTGGTGGTAACACAAGCATGGCACCTAAGGAGATGACCGGAGGACTCCTATATCCTTCATCGAACCAAGAGAACTGCATCCTCGATCCTAAGAAGTCGCAGAACATTGCAATTATGTTGAAGGCCCTGCATGTGAGTGAGGAGGAAGTCTGTGAGGCTCTCTTAGAAGGTATCGCTTTCCTTTATCCTTTGACTGTTTGCATATCTTGGGATTCAGAACAACAATTGGGTACATGTTCCTCTTATCAACCTCTATGCGACTTTTCTAAATTCATCCTCAGAATTGTGGTACTATTGGTTCACTAACACATTATGGTATGTGTTGGAAAAACAAGGTAATGCTGATAGCTTAGGAAATGAAGTTTTGGAGGCACTCAAGAAGATGGTTCCAAGCAAAGAGGAAGAACGTAATCTGAAAGAACACAAGGATGATTCATCTTACATTCTTGGTCCAGCTGAAAGCTTTTTGAAGGCAGTTCTCCTTATACCGTTTGCATTTAAGAGAGTTGATGCCATGCTTTATATTGCTATTTTCGATTCAGAGGTCAATTACCTAAGGAATTTATTTGGGACTCTTCAGGTAAGTCTCTTTGGAATTATCATTCTCAAATTTCACCAATTATGTGAAGCTGCATGAAGTGAAAGTCATTGTGGCTGCATGAATAATGATATATGCTTTGAGACTTTAGACAATTCTTTTTTGAAACAATTGATCTTAATCGAATCAATTATTTTAATGGATTGAAGTTAGAAAAATCCAATGAATGGATACAATTGATTATAGTTTGTCAAATAATTGGTTTGAAATGATTATGTATTCGATCATTTGACCTCATTTGGTGCCATATATGTGTGTGTGTGTGTGTGTATGCGTATGTGTGTGTATATATGTGTGTATATATGTAGATATATATGTGTGTATATATGTACATACGTATGTGTATATATATGTACATATATATACATATGTATGCGTATATATATACACATACATATATGTACATATATATATATATATATATATATATATGTACATAGATATATATATGACAAATCATGATCAAGGTGAATGATCGAAATTAGAGGTCAAATAAGGTGAAACTGATTGAATAGGAATATTATTACTTGATACTCTTTCTTAATTAAATACTAATTTTATCACTTAATATGCTGTTCAATTATAAGTGACTAGTAGTTTCATATATAGACATGATTAAAATTATGTTTCTTGTCTCTGAATTATAGTGGCTCCTATATTTGGACATGCTTTGCAAAGCTCAGTACTTGTCGATGTCTCAGGCAGCCTGTGAAGAGCTGAGGAGCAGCAGGATGTTCCACAAGCTCCTGGAGGCAGTCTTGAAGACTGGGAACCGAATGAATGTTGGTACCAGGCATGGTGAGGCAGATGCCTTCAAGCTCGATGCACTTCTCAAGCTAGTTGATGTCAGAGGCACAGATGGCAAGACCACCCTGTTACATTTTGTTGTCCAGGCAATCAGTCGAGCTGAAGGATCCCACCTTTTCGCTCTCAACCCTTCAAGCATTAAAACCCCATCGAATGCAGCATCAGATCTTGAGTGCTGCAGACTCGGAATCCATGTCGTGTCCCGGCTGGGAATTGAGCTTAGCAATGTCAAGAAGGCAGCTGCAATGGACTGCAATATGGTTAGCAGCTGTGTTATGAGACTTGGCGGAGAAATTGGGAAGATCCATGAGGTACTGCAATTAAATGATTCGTTCTCAAAAGAGGATGGTCACAATTTCCATGATGCCATCATCAGGTTCTTGAGAAAGGCTGAAGGTGCAATCTTGGACATCCAAGCTCGAGAGAGTTTTGTGCTATCCATGGTGAAGGAGACCACTGAATTCTTCCATGGGGACTCGGCCAAAGAGGAGGATCATCCATTTAGAATCTTCGTGGTGGTAAGAGATTTCCTTGCAGTTCTCGATCAGGTTTGCAGAGAGGTCGAAAAAATCAACGAGCATGACATCATCATCATGACACGGCATTTGCCAGTAAGGCAGTAACCATGAACCAAACATCACGTCTGTTGTTCCCCAGTGTTCTTGCATCAGAGCCTCGATGTTCTGAAGATTATCATCTTTGTAGATCTAAGGATTAGAGTTTAGGCTTTTGAGTGGCTAAGATTATCATCTTTGTAGATCTTTGTGACTTGTTTATATTATGTAAATGCTAGTAGTAAAAGCTTGTTGTGGAGGTGAATGAAGTGTGGAACTTATGTTATCTTGTGAGGTAGTTGGAAGCAAAATAAGTTACCTTTTGGTGCAAGGCTGAGATCTAATGACATGTAGAGCTCAATGGTGGCAAAGTGTCTGACCCAAAAAAAATTAGTACTTAAGATTTTATTGTTGTTGTATTTATCTGAAAATATATCTCCTCATACATTTCTCTGCATTGCAATGAAAAATATTGCTTCCATGTGTCATCTGATTTAAACTTTATTCACAGATAGACCTTCATTTGAGTGCATGATTGTTCGGTACCAAAGTCAGTTCATTTTTGCCTGGCCAAGTTCAGAGAGTCACATAGCCACTGTATTG